GCAATAAGTTTCATTTATGATTATTATTATATTTATTTATACATATTTTTAGTATGAGAACTTTATTGTTATATTTTAACGTTGTTATTTAATTGCAAAGTATTACTTTTTGAGTCTCTTGAATAAAATGTTCAAATAAAATTTGTTTTATTGTTAGTTACTCCATTGGTGAATAAAGAATAAATTAAATATTATTAGAACCTACAATTTTATTTTCCTCTACAATTTTCGAATGTACGTCGGGATTAAAGTTTTATTTTTATTTTTTCTTCGGAAGTAGAAGTGCTAGAAACATCACTTTATTTTTCTAGTAAAAACAGCGCCGGATTTTAGGGTAAGGGAAAGGGTCACAATTAGAAGGTGATTTAGAATATACAATTCATACTTATACTGTACTTTTATAAGTGTTTATACATAATGTTTTGAAAAAATGATTTCGAAACTTTTCGATGTGTTTTCTTGGATGAATATGGAATAGTCGGTTGAATTATTTGAGGTAAGATAAATAAGTGAAGAATTATTGTAAGGATAGCTTTGTGAAGGGCTATAATTTGTGAAGGCCTTGGGCACCGGTGATTTTTCGCTCCCATCAGTGACAATTTCCCTGAATCCGTCAAATTCGCTCCCAGAGACAATTAAATTCGCTCCCAAAGACAAGATAATATTATTAACGTAATTACTTGCTAATAATGCGAAAAGGTAATTGTCGGGACAGATAAAGATAATTACATTACTACATACGATTTTTTTGGTGTTTAAATTCATGAGATGCAGCTTTTACAAGAAGTAGTACTCTTACCGAATCTACTCGGAAAAAATGCCTCATAAGAAAAACTCCAAAAATTTATTCCAAACGTTAAATCAACAGCATGAGCTCTAGTTAATTACCTACTTAGTCTGTTTTATTTTTGCTAATAAGTATAACGATAATATTACTTTGAGGGTTGATATCCCAAGAGGTATTTATTAATTATATATTATTTTTAATAATAATTAGCTAATTATCTAGTTGATCTGCTCTTATTTCTATTAAATTGTATTTCAGTGTCAGATATTAAATATGAATTATTAAAAAACTAAATAATAATAAAGGAATGAACCATTTCCTTTTCTGCAATACTTACACAAAAGAATATTTTTTTATTTACTTCTAGTATATTAAATCGTGTATTCTGTCAACATACTGACATATAAGTTGTTTGATAACGTAACCACGTTACATTTCTAATAAAATTTACTATTTACCTTACAATAAACGAAAGATATTAATTTTTTCCGAGTGAGAAATCTTGTTCGGGGGGTTTTTCCGGGGGATTCTTTTCTGGGGGCTTTTTCTCGGAAGCTTTTTCCCAAAGCTTTTTTGCCAGGGCTTTTTTCCGAGAATGATTATGAGAATGTTCCAATATTTTCTCTTATTAATGTGAATGTATATTAAGAACCCTTTGCGGTAGGGGTTAGGTTGTATTTTAGATTATCTGAAACTCACGTAACGTTATTGTAAACGTTTTTAAAATTTATGGGTCTAATGAGTGCATTTTATTACAAATAACTACATGTTAATATACACGTATGATAATTTTATTACTAAAAGAAACTGCTACAGGTCTGACGCTGGAAGCTGGCGGAAATTTTAAAATGGCGTGGATGCGCGGTGGCAAAAGTAGGTAGTTTGAGGTATAAAGAACTAATAAACAGAAGAACTAATTGTTGATGTTAGTGACAGTGATAGAGATTCCCATGATGAGAGTGAATATGAAAACTAACTATAAAACAAAAGCAATAATTTTTTCTTTTTGATAAGTCATGTTTTTACATTATTTTCTAGTACGCTATTGTTCTGTCTGTATTAATACTATAATTTACGCCTACTGAAAGCTTATTTGTGTATCGGTTCCAAGTGACTTACCCAAATAGATCATAAATGGGCAAGTACCCGCGCGACCGTTCACCAGCTTCCTTCGTCAGACCTGTACTTTCTTTGATATAGTTTTGTTTTGTTACGGTTTTTTTATTATTTCAATAACTAATACATACCTAAAGCACTCTCCAATAAACATACAATAAAAGCAATTTTTTCGACCGAATTTACATTTTGACTTGATTAATTCTTCTACCTGTCGTAATGACCGGCTGTATTTACCACTGCCCCTGGGAACTAGCCCCAAATGCTCTTATGTAAATTCGGCTCTCTCAATAAATATTTATCTAAGTAAATCTTAATCTACCTGAGTTATCTTAGATTTCAGAGTTAACGGGGCTGTATTTTTGGTACACTTTTAATCAAAATAAGTATATTGTTTATTTAATTTTTAATTGTTTTACTTATGTTACTTATTTTGAGTATTTCTTATTTATTATTACCCAATTTGGGCAGAAACCTTTTAATCTTGATGATGGATAAACTTATATTTGGAATATCTGCATTTTTAGTTATTTATGCCTTTGACAATATATGATACCTAAAGGCATTTTTTTTAAGTCCAATACCCCATATGATTTATAACTTAACTTGCCCTCTTGGAAGCTTTCCTTTCGGTAAATATTTCTTAATTAATAATGGTTAGGAAATACAAATTGCTTTTTATTTTAATTTTAAAAAACATCCAAAACGTTTCTAACGATTTTTATTTTGGACTAAACGATTATACATAGACGTATTAATACAATGGGTATATATTTTATATAACATGTCTACTATTGCTTCATTAAACATTTAATCGGCGACTTTCATAGAGGTTTTGAATATGTTTTCATGGATGTGATGTAAGTCATTCAACACCTTGTAACAAATGTCGCACGAAAAAATAAAAGGAAACTGAAAACAACATTGATAAAATCGCTGTGGACTGTAATAAATGGTCCTTTATTTATTATTTTTTCATACTTACAGTCGACTGAGAATAACCAAGTAGTTTATTGACTATGATACGTTTCGAGTCAATTTCCGACAGACGTACTGTACGAATTTTATCTGTTACGCCACAAAGAAAGCATTTCGACAGGCTTCTGTTTGCCGTCTTGTCTTTTTTATTCAAATGTCTTGTAAGAGATATTTTATTCAAAGTTTCAGAACATTGGTAGATCTCCCCAATACAATTAGAGCATACGTAAGATATAGACTCTTTTGGGAATGCCTAAAATTTTACAATACTTCCATCAATCCAAAAAAGTTTTTCCTAAGTGCCTTTTTTGTGGCATAAATCCCATACATTTATTACAAACTCGTTTTTAAAACAAATGTAATTAATTAAGATAAACCTGAGATATTTCGCTAAAACCTACCAACTGTGCATCGGTTTTTCTTTTTTTTTCTTTGAATTGGTAATTTTAGCAATGTATCTTAAATAATATTTTTACTTACATCAACGATCATGCACATTTGCAGGTAATACAGCAATGAGGAATCCTCAGGAGGACCCGTGACTGCCGTGGCTTTGGCTCTAGAAACTCTGCTACCACAGATAAGGCACAACATCTTCAGTTTAATAAAATTGTCAAGGTACTTTCGGTCAGCAATTGGTGATTCCTTTATATATCGCCACACATTTTATTATTAACAGGTGTTTACACTATACAATGTTATTGAATTACACGAATGTTCAACCAATACACATAGGCCTACCTGTGTAATAGGTAAAAATAAATAAAAACAAAAAAATATGAATGTAGTTGTTCCAAATACACGCACATATACTTGTGTTTTTACCATGAATGTAATTTCAAAACAGACTTTCCTCGAAGTTTAAAAACTTCTATTGTTTTATTTTATCAAATATTTTGATTATTGTAAAAAGATCGTTATTGAATACTATACACTCTGTATATAATGTACATATATAACGAAAAACAAAATTACAGGGACTAAGGAGCTATTCTGTCATTTTAATTTGTTTATTGCAATTAGTGTTAGGTAAAAACTTGATTTGAATTAACAAGACTAAAATACCAAGACAATCTGTAAATCGAAAATTGGGTACTTATACTTAATTGAAAAAACATTTTTTTAATAGTTAGAAAAAGCTTTCAAAAGTAACCCAATATACCTGAAATGATAATAATATACTCTCATATTTACTATATAAAATACTCACTTCTATACGATATAATGTATTTAAATGTATATGAGCAGCTTAATATACATATAGATACAGTAGAATTAATTTTAAATTTATTAGGACTTATCATTACTTTTGAAAAACTACCATGGAAGAAAACAATTTTAATAAGTACTCTTGATGTTGCAATTTGGTCTAAATAAAATCCCAAAATCCGACTCCTTAAATCTTGCAATGGACCGAATTAGTGATTTTGGTTTGGCTAGGTTATATATTAGAGGCTGTAAAGCAGGGCCGTGTTTAGGGAAAGGGGGAAGGGCGAAGAAGCCAACGCCGAAAGGACTTCTAAAACTGAAATTAGACACCGATTTTTTATAATTCAGAATAAAATTATTCAAATCAAAAAGAACTTAATTCACCCTTTTGTATTAACTATTAATTTTTTACAACTATTAGTCATTAATTTTTTTTTTCAAATTTGAAATAGGTACCTATTTTATTCCATCATTTCTACGTGCATTGCTTGCCCACAACAAGAATGATCAAGCACTACTTTTGACAGGTTAGTCCAATTTTGCTAATTCTTATTTTATACAGGTATAGGATATACCTCGACGTTGATTCCATTTAAATTTGTAAGGGTGCCAAAATAGGGAATGATCGATTATTCACGCTCTGAATTTTGACATTGCGCAACAAATAATTAATAAATGGAAACTTTTTAACAAAAAATTAAACCGACGAGAAAAGAAACTGAAAAACGAAAAATAAAATTATATTAAACCTTTCAAATCTAACTAAGCTCGTAAATTAATGCAGCTAACTAAATTTTGAGTCTGCGCCAAACAAACAATCAACGAAAATCATTAAAAGAGTTTAAAGAAATAATCAAATCAAAACAAGATAGAAATACAACGTGAAATCTCCGACAAAAAACATTACAACCACTCGCAACGTGTACTTACCCTCACGTGTGTGGCCGTCATAGATGAAGTGGACGCTGGGGTGGCTGTTTCGCTATTCTGGCGTCGACTTTAGTTATTAAAACTGAAAAGGTTTATTTTATTTATCGCTTTTCAGTTTCTTTTTTTGTCGGTTTAATTTTTTGTAGACACAGCCCTGCTGTAGAATATTTTTGGGAATAGGTAAGACGGAAAAGAGTATAAGCAAATAAGTTTATAAATTAAGACAAGAAACGTATATTTGATATTTATTTATAGTATTTCACAGTGTGTCGATTATTAGTGTACTATGTTAACGGGGTACATATTAGGTCAGTGCGCATAGAATGTAGGGTTTGTAATAGGTACTTTAGGGATGTTTTTATGGTTAAATGTGATTGGCATGAAATGTGTGAATGTTGTACGAATACACTGGTACTTTTTCTCGTGTGCGGCATCATTTTTTTAGTGTGTTGTGTTGTGTTGTGTATTATAATATGTTAACGTATTTTTCATAATTTCTTTTTTCTGAAAAGTGTTTGTGTTGTGCTGTCGCGGTGTGGTCGAATCGCTAACGTAAAGATTAGTATATATCACATCGTCATATTGTTTGGTGGGTCGAAGGGCCCACGAAGGGACCAATGGCAAGAGGGTGCTATGTCTAATAAAACATGTAGCCCTTATTTAACTTATCTCGTCTTCTAACCTAGTTTATTAGTGAGAAATGAAGACCATTATTTCGTCTTTATTCTTTTGTAAACACAGACACTAGAGTCAAGTGAGCGAGCAGGTCTCTCATTACGGAAAAAAGTTATTGATTGTGTAGTTAAGTAATAGTAGTTATAGTAATTGTAGTAGTAGTAGTAGTAGTAGTAGTAGTAGTAGTAGTAGTAGTAAATAGTAGTAATATTAATAATAGTACAGTATAATATATTACAGTAATAACGCAATATTCACGAAGTAACAAAATAACGAATTAAACATGATCACATAGTTCGTGGTCTTGAACTGGTTTTTTTTTTCTTTGGTAAGGAACAAGGAATGATGTGAACAACTTCGTTCGGCGCGCACGAAAATTTCTTTCTGATTTTAATTTACTTTTTCTCTCGCGTTATTGTCATGTCATTGCGCCTCTTTCTTTGTTAAGCACATCCATTTTTTTTATAATATAGATATTGTATTATAAACAGCGATGAAAATGCATTGTGCGTTGGGGTTACGAAATATGACAGGCGCAAGGGGTCAATTAGGCCGACGATAGGGGATGCTGACATTGAACCTTCTTCTTAGCCGTGGGACACTTCCGGCTTTGACTGTGATTGTTGTTGTTGCTGCTGCTGCTGCTGTTGCTGCTGATCCCCCGTCGCCCGACCTGAGTCCGGTCCTGTTTGCTGAGCCAAATTCTTGTACAGAATCGAATTCACGAAACGGGGATAACTATCTCGATGCATCAGTGTGTAAATTTGTAGCTGAGCCTCGTCGAACGTGTGGGGGGTAGGCCCTACCATATTGCGATTTATAATTTCTCGAACACGTGAGTCCAATGACACCTATAACACATTAACAATTTCATTACTTGTAACAACAAAAGCTATTTTTATTTCGCTGGAAATTCTATGTCAACTTCGGCTTTTGAACTGTAAGATAAAACAATCGCTCGATAAAAAGCAGTGATATTCGCTCACAATTAATGGACGTAGGTACTACGCTTTAAAATGATTTAATTAAAGTCGCCTCTGAATTCAAGTCCTTTAAACTTTGTACTTGCACTTCAGCATGTGCAATAAAAAGTCATAGAAGCTCGAAACCAACTAGATGCTCTGTAATCGGTCAACGAACTCGGTTCGAAAGTAGATTTTTTTTTTTTGAGTAAACATGATAAGATTTGCAGTTGTAATGAGGTACTTTTGTGGAAAACTTCTTGCAAAACTCTATTTATTGTGTTCCTTTTTATCGGAGCAAGTACAATTTCTTATTTTCACGTTTTTAATAATTTCTCAACTTTTATACCGCAACGAAGTTCTTTTCGTACCAATTTTTCTATCTATTATTGTTATTTATATATAGGGTTGTTCGGAAAGTCATTTCGTTTTTTCCCGACAGAGGATTTAATTGTATTCTTTTGCACCAAACTTCACATTTAAGCCGTATAATTTTTATATGCTTTGAGAGCTCATATAGCAAGGCTTGTGTGTGAAAAATTCCAATTAATTCTACGCAGTAGTTTTTGGTTGGTGCACTTTTAAATATAGAGAGCGATAAGCAGCATTTTCGACATATCTTACTGTTTTACTACAGAAATGCTAAAAATGCTGTTCAAGCCAGAAATAAATTGACTGATGTGTATGGAGAAGGTGTGTTGACAGTACGCCAGTGCCAGAACTGGTTCACTAAATTTCGATCCGACAATTTTGATGTCGAAGATGCACCACGTTCGAAAAGGTCGGTTGAAGCTGATAAAGACGCGATAAAGGCATTAGTTGATGTGAACCGGCGAATAACAACATGTGAGATCGGATTGAGGTTAAATTTATCAAATTCAACTGTTTATGACCACTTGAAAGGCCTGGGATTATCCTCGAAGCTCGATGTATGGGTTCCCCATGTTCTCACAGAGAGAAATCTGTGTCGCCGCATTGACGTCTGCGATTCGCTTCTTAAACGTCACGAAAATGATCCGTTTTTGAAGCGCATCATCATTGGGGACGAAAAATGGGTTGTATACAACAACGTCAAACGCAAGAGGTCATGGAGCAAAAAAGATGAACCGGCTCAAACCGTTTCCAAAGCCGATATTCGCCAAAAAAAGGTGATGATGTCTGTTTAGTGGGATTTTAAAGGAATCGTTCTTTTTGAGCTTTTACCTGATAACACAACGATTAATTCGGAAGTCTACTGTCATCAGCTGGACAAACTGAATGATGCACTTCAACAGAAAAGGTCAGAACTAATCAACAGGAAAGGTGTAGTGTTTCACCAAGTCAACGCGAGACCTCACACAAGTTTGGTCACTCGCCAAAAGCTTTTACAGCTTGAATGGGATACAATGCTACACCCACCATATTCTCCAGACCTGGCACCATCGGATTATTATTTGTTCCGGTCACTCCAAAATTTTTTAGGCGGTAAAACCTTCACCTCAAATGAGGAGGTCAAAAACCTCCTCGATCAATTTTTTGCCAGCAAAGACCAAAAATTTTATGAGCGTGGAATTATGCTACTACCAGAAAGATGGCAAAAGGTGTTGGACCAGAACGGTCAATATATAATTTAATAAAGTATTTGTTTATTATACGAAAACTGTCTTTCATTTTCACAAAAAAAAACGAAATGTCTTTCCGAACAACCCGATATATAGTGGATTGCATTTATTACGACTTTGGTTATAGTGACCATTTTGCAATAGCGACGTTAGATCTAAGTCCCTTAAATTTAAAGCACATTTTAGTACAAAGTTCATGTGACTATAGCGACTACTACCCCAAGTTCGGTTGTAGCGACTGAATCATTTATAACAAATCCCTAATAATCCTATGCAGATATAACGGCCGGAGTCTGCCGACAAAGACAAAAAAAGAGCTTTCTTATCTTTTGTTTATATCCACACAGATGGTCACCAAGTGTGGTGACCTTTACCGTTTATTTATAGATGTTAGCCAGGTAGAAAGGCAAGCGTGTATGTTAAAATGGTTCAGTCACAAAGTGATTATTCTAAGTTGCAACTTTTTGTGAATAAGTATGACTTCTAAAAGGTGAAAATCGTTTCAAAATTGAAAAATTGTGAAAACTATACATACGTGTCTGTATGTCTTTACCTCTGTCTACAACGACTTCCGGATATAACGACGAAATTACAGTGATCCCTACGTCGTCGTTATACCCGACATCCACTGACCATATATTACATCCAATGTGATTATTGGGATAGAATTAATGAAATGATTTAGCCATTTTACAAAATATCTTGACTTGGATAAAGACAAAATCAGCGCAAGTGGGATAGTTCTGACAGTAACTGGCGATTAAAACGTTTAGTTAAAAAACGAAAGAGTCTCTTAGGCCACTTTTGATATGCAGGAAGTTTTCGTTTAATCAAAATCGTTTATTAAAAACCGCTAATTTTCACGTATTCGAGTTGGAACTAAACAATTGCAAAGAACTAAGCGGGTTTAAATGTCTATATTCGGGTGCATATACGTACAAACCTACATTCTAATAACCTGCTGTAACAATAAAAATTTAAATGTTTAACGTTGAAAGCATAGATTATAAAATTATTAAAAATGCTGCCAAAATTAAAATATAAATGTTATGTAGCATTGATAGCAGTATCCACGGTCCAAGTTTGATAAATAAATTGATATTTTTTTTTCAACCCTGTACAACGCTGGCGCTTTAAATAAAATGGAAGCGGTCCTGACAGATCAGTACTGTATGAAAATAAATAAAAGTAAAACTAAAATACTGGTATGCAAGGGAAGAAAAAGTAGGGAAGGAGCGAATATAAAGATAGGAGACGAAAAATTAGAAGAAGTGGCTGATTTTAGATACCTAGGAAGTCAGATAAGTGAGGATGGAAGGAGTAGTAGGGATATAAAGCAGAGGATAGCGCAGGGTCGTGTCGCCTTTAATAAAAAGAAGTCACTTCTATGCTCGCGAACGGTTAATTTAGAAATTCGAAAAAGGTTGTTAAAGGTGTATGTTTGGAGCACGGCGTTGTACGGGTGCGAAACATGGACAGTGGGAGCGGCGGAAAAGAAAAGGTTAGAAGCGTTCGAAATGTGGTGTTATAGGCGGATGATGAGGATATCGTGGGTAGAAAAGGTTAGAAATGAAGAGGTATTGGAAAGAATAGGAGAACAGAGGACTCTATGGAAGTCAATAAAAAATAGGCGAGATAGGTTGGTAGGACACCTTCTCAGGCATGAAGGTCTAGTCAGAGACATATTAGAGGCAGAAACAGGAGTTAGGAGGGGTAGAGGTAGACCTAGATTAGATTACTGTTCGCAAATAGTTAAGGATGTGGGCTGTTCTAGTTTTAGGGAAATGCGAAGTTTAGCTCAGGATAGGAAAGAGTGGAGGTACGTGTCCAACCAGTCTTAGGACTGACGACCTTATTATGATGATGACAAAGCTGGATTTACAAGGGATGCTACCAAAAAAACTGCCCAGGAACGACATAAAGGCTAAGGCCGGCACTGGTTGGTTGTTACCATTATAATAAACATTATAATTATTTATTAACGACAAATCAGTACCATTAAACTAGGGAAATTTTTGTTCGGATTGTATTTTTTTATTGTTTTGTCATTTGTCATCAATAGAAAAGGCGTGAAATTATGCTTAAGAAACAATCTCTTTTCTTGGCAAAGTATTGAGAAGGATGATCGTTACGGAATTGATGGTTTAAAGATTATTTGCACTTCGGAAATTTCTTTAAAAACTTGTAAACAACTAGAGAAAAAAATCTTCCTTTTTTTGTGCCAAATGAATTTTATTTGTTTTTAAACATCCTTTTTATGAGTCCAACACAAAAATGGGAATCTAGGCATTTAAGTAAATTTATGTCACATACGTATATGTTTGGGTTAATTGGTACTAATTGACTGGCGGGGATGCAAATATTTGAAATGACCGTGGTTACTAATGTTTGTTTCAAATCCTGTTATTAATTATATCTTCCAGGTAAACACTTTATAAAATGTGACGCGTGGAATCGTTACTGTAGAGTTTGACATTGCATGCATGCATGCATGCGGATTTCTGTGGTTTACTAAAACAGGAACATTTAGATACACTATTAGATTCAGAGCACATATGCATACACAAGTATAATTTCATTATTCCAATTTGGAAGTGTAGTCTATTATTTACTTATCCTCCAATATACATTAATTCCTAATGAAAATGACATATATATTAAGCTTTAATAAACCTCCAAAGCTAAAAGATAAACAAGTTCCGTTCCTATTATGTTTATAGTTTATTTATTTGTTATGTTTTCTAATCGAAGAAGAATTTTATCAAAGGAATTTGGTTTTCCTTGCGAGGAATTCACTGCATCGGTCTTTTGCGTATCTTTAGAAATCCTTTTAGCATGTTGCAAGCCACTTATGTATATATATATATTCTATAAGCATGCAGGTAACGTCTTGTTATTTTTTTTTATTTTGATTTACTTGCTCTAATAAGTAATGAGAAAAATCACTATTATTACCGTTCTTATCATTCCTAACAAGATGAATATCGTCCTTGAATTTACAAGACCAAAGAAAAGATTCAATCTGGAAAACGAAGAATGAAAAATATTTGTTTCTCTAGGCAGTGAACAGAATTTACTACATTTTAGGTCTATACAATTTACAAATTATAACTAAAACCTTTGACTATTGTAGCAACTAAATTAACTAAAATATGCCTATAATATATAGTGTGTGATTACGTAATCGGCATAGATTTGTCAATGGAAGGTCCATTTCGACAAAAGTTGTTCTGAACAGTTATCAGGGTTGGACTGGCCACTGGGGAGTTCGGAAAAATTCCCGGTGCGCCACTGCCTTATTTTTGAAAAACGGCGCCAGTTAAAGTACGATTAGTTATTTGGCTATAAATCACGATTAAAATATTAAAAATATAAAATTTAATTCAATTAAGTAAATTA